CCTTGGATTGTCCTTGCTTTGGATCAGAATCAGAATGAGTATGTGCATTGAGCTGTGGAGATCGTTCTTTGCTTGTAGCGGATGCAGATACAGCACGTAGAATGAGAAAACCTAAACAGTTTCATCGTGTGCTAGCAATCAACTTATTGAAATTAATTTCAACGTGGTTTTCAGAAGTCTGTGGCAGAATGCAGGTTCATTGAGTGAGAAATGTAAAGCGCGGATTGTTTATGACATTAAAACATCACAAACTGAGAAACAAAAAAAAAACAAAAAAAAAAAAAAAAAAAATGTTTTCTCAAAAGTGAAGCCGAGTACTGGAGTGAGGGCGGTTTTGTATCTGTAATTTCTTCACGGTTACCTGCCTTTACTTCAAAGTTCTTTATACACCTACAGGATACGTTTCTAAGAAAAGTTAGTAGAGTAAGATAGATGTTGCGAGAAGAACAAGGGGGGAGTAGGATCGACAGGGCAAAAACCGCCCCCATCCAGTCAAATCGGCTTTTCACTTTTGACCCCAAAAATGTCTCCTTTTTAGAATGTTTTGTTGTCTCAACAATTGCGCTTAATTTTTCACTTCAGCCCGAATGATCTGCCGTTCGGTGTCGCAGACGCTGACGAACGGATGGAGAATGAGGATCGAGTGGTTTGATTTTTCGAGCACAACTCGATGAACTTGTTTTGTTTTCTCATGATACGGGTGTTATGTGAAATCCGAAAGGGAGATCTCCAAGGCTCAATAATAATCCATCTATCGTCATATGATTGAATCCGAAGACAAGAGCGATCTCAAAGCTAATTTTACTCGATAGTCCTCACTATGCTCGAAGAAATTGTTTTCTTGAAGGAACCTGGCCCGAAAGTTTAGGCTGTGGATGCCTCTACTCTTTCTTGATTTTGTTACGATTTCCTTTATTCAGATTTTACGGTGCGGTTTCCCTCTCGTTTTCACCTAAAGCGAAGTTGGGATGTAACAAAATTCAATGAGCAGGAAGGAAAGGCAACGAGAAGTATGGGGTGGCTTTAGAATTATGCGAATAGGTCAGAGCGGGTTTTTGAAAATTGCAGAAAAACACTCTTCAAATTTTAAGCTGGGGCTTTTGTGTTCAGTGTTTGCCAAGATAACATTTCATACTACATCTTTCATATAGAAGCCTTCACTCGAACGCATCTTAGGGTAAAGTTTTGCAAGAAATAGGTGGACTTTATAAGGTTATGCGGAGCAGGTTATTTGTTCCCTTCCGGGTTCCCATACAGTAACCCACACTAGTGAAATTGCGTCAGGTTGGGGTCTCAAAGTGTTAGGACACAAAGGGCATATACCTACGCTCGCGCGAGTGGCAGCTGTTCCCCCCGTGCGTTCTCTCCGAGTGTTCTGTGTTCCTGCTCATTATAATCATTCATGGATCCAAATGATTGCATTTATGCGAATTATGCGAATAGGACAGCTAAATTCGAGATCATGCGGATAAGAAATCGAGGATGATTGGTGATTTGCCAACTAATCCTACTATATATCGGCTAGGCGGTTGCTGTCGTGTATGTGTTTGTCTGTCTGCCGAATTCATTAGCCGAGCCAGTGTAGTCAGGATGTTGTTTCAGATATGATATAGGGGGTGCGGACGGGAACATATTTTGGTGGGGTAAGAAAGTGCATCACAACTGATAAGGGCTGATAAAAAAGGCGCTTAGAACGGCAAGGTGTTGAATCATAGCATCGCGGCACCTTGGTTGTCAGAGTTTGGCATCAAGATATGCATATAGGGAGGTGGACGCGGAACACATTTGATGGGGGTTAAAGAGTGAAAACTGATAAGGGCTGATAAAAGGCGCTAGGGACGCCAGTCGGGAAACTCATAGATCGGTACCATGGTCGTCATGAGTGGTTTCAAACGTCATGATTATAGGGGTGGGACGGGAAATATTTGAGGATGGGTCAAGGAAGTGATAACGACTGATATGAGCAATTGGAGGAGCGTAACATAATTTCACAAATTCATAGCAGCCCGTTCGCAGCCCAGTCGTCAGGAACTTATTTTGGGAATGATAGGGGCTGGACGGTAACTATTTTGTGGGGGTCAAAAAGTTGATACGAGATGAAGTAATAATTACGATATGGTACGAACGTTAGAGATTACTCGAAACCAGATTGCAAATAGTGATTTCATTTTCAATATTCATTTCATTAATTAGTTCATCCAATTTTTCATCTTTAATGGTAAATTCAAACACTTTTCAACCGCCTTACGCCTTGAGTTCCTGAGGATGAATGGGGTGCTCTAGTAAATATTGATAGTGAATAGTGGGCATTCACGTTTTGAGTATACCAAAATTACTCGACCGCTAAATTTTCCCCGATTTTCGATGCCATGGTGGTTGTTTAACATACATTCACTTTAGCTGTGCACTTCACTCGCTTATCAAACAGTGGAGATACAGCCAAGAGTTGCAACGGAGAGTAATGGATTTAACGAAGCAGCTATAAGTTTGAGCGGTGGAAACTCAAAGCTTCACCGATTTCGATTTGTCCAGGAGGCTTTCGTGGTCATGGCGCCGCAAGGTTGAGCGCGGAGCTAACGCTGGTAGTTATATTGGATCCGAAAGTGACTGTCAAAACGCTGCAGGGTTCAAGATCAACAACAAGCTCTGGTCAAGTTTCACTGTTTCAGACTTATGATCTGGGATATTTGCCAAGGTACTTATAGGATTACTACTGGTTTTTCAATTATCAGATATTCGGATTTAGATTTTTGAAGATTTATCTTCTATTTTATAAAGCTTCTAACTTGTCGTGTCGTGTGATGTGTATTGTTGTGTGCTGATATGGATGTATGTGGATGTCCGCTCCGCAAAATGAAGTGATTGAGAAGGAAGCTCATGGATAAACAGCGCTAACAAATCGAGCGTTAGTCCTATACAGGCATCTGAGATATCAATGTTTTTAGCAGGATTAGTTGTGATAACACTCTTAGGGCTATGTATAAACACATGCTGAGAAACTTTCGCTTTCTCAGATGGTGCATGCAGTGGAGCTGAGAGGGCGGGAGAGAGAAGGAGGATGAGGGAAGCGAAGCAATAACTTACCGTCATATCTGCTGTGTCTTCTACTGTTGAAACCATTGTGTTGCATAACGCGTCAACTTCCAGATCGTCGTTGTGTCACAGGAGAAAGGACATACGGAGATAGAAAGCTTTGCCGCATGAGAAGGAAAGGTACGGCGGTTGGACGGGGATAATCTGGTATTACTATATTAATCGGCTTAAGCGGTTGTGGTGTGTTGTGTCTGACCTGGAAATTATGCTGCAGTCCTTTTGGTCCCGAGCGTCAAACTTGAGGTTGTTCAGGGGCCGAGAGTGAAACATGTGACGAGGTGGCGGGATAGTGATACTATGACACAGCTGATTAAGGACGTGCGGGCAAAGCTGTTGCCACCAATTTCCGCTACGCCGTTTGCGATGACAGTAGAGGTTTCCGACACTAAGTGTTATGCGCTGCTGTGACGGGACCGAATATGAGATGAGCGAGAATGGTGGATAGAAAGTGATAAAGGGTGACACGTGGCCGGATACAAAGCCATCAGTTTGTTGCTTACCGCATTGACAGGTAGCGATTTTTTGAACACATTAGCTAAGATGTGGGATTAACGGCGGGTACAATGAGGGTGGGTGAAAGAAAGTGGTAGCAAGTGATACAAGAACAGATAAGGGGGTCAGAGTGTAAATACCACCATTCGTAGGCGGCCTTACCGTGGTACGGAAATTTTACGGGGAACACGAATGGTGAGTGATCAAAAGTTATAACAATTGTAACAGCTGATAACAAAGTCCAGAATTTGATTATCCAAATTCGGTTGTGTATCGTGGTTTGCAGTAAGACCTCGCTTCTTAAATATGTTTCATAGGGGTCTTGGACGGGACAAGGGGTGCTATCGGTATGTAACTGTTACAAATGAACAAGGAATGATAAGGGAGTCTGAATGGAACACAACAGCTTTGTTGCAATTAAGACAATGTCATCGTCTTAACTGCAAAAAGCTCATGCCAAGCGATAGTGTCGGCGAGGCTAAGCCAGATTCTTAGCACGTGAATATGCTCCAATTCTAACCTTTCACCAAACCGTGCAAAGAAAGTTGAAACGCTCAACTATTTGGACGCGGACCAAGCACACATTATCACCAGAGCTAGGTTAGTTGCAGATTGGATGGTCATATCTCCCTCTCTCTCTTTCAGCGATACTCACAGTATTAATTCTGTAGACCGCTAAATCATCCACACTCGATATTAATGCTGAATGTTTACGAGTCGTGATAAGCCATTTTCATTCCGCATGCTACACGTGCACTACGCGATAGTCTTCAGCGAAATTTGCGGCCTTTGCATTTTTTCAGGAGCATTTTTCAAAGCAGCTCAATAATAGTTCTTAGCCATGTGACCTAACATTCTACAGGTGGTCCAGTTTCACTGAAGCCCACCATATGATGCGCGCGGATGCGTGCGGAGCTAAACTGGTATACTTATAAACCACGAAAACCTGTGCACGCGCGAGCGCGGAAGCGAAACAGTCTAGATGCCTATCGACATGGTCAAGTCTTCCCTCTCACCGTTTCGCGTCGACGTATCGAAAGCGTGAAACGCGGATCACCTTCAATCCACCTGATCGACAAACATACATCTCTTTCAAAAGGATTCGCGGATTTGACGCCTCTCCCAACTTGCAAATCGGACCTCCTATTTTGCGGATCAACACGCATTTGGTTCCTTTCGCGAATCCCCAGATTCGATCATTTCGCGCGTCCTTCGGTCATAGCGCGAGCTCTCAGCTTATGTGTCCATAAGCATTCGCGCCCTGGAAAATAGTGGTCCCACATCGTACTTGGCCTTACAAACAGGGTCGACCGTATGTTTGCACTATTCAAATGAAGAGTCGCATTTGTGTCTTTGTGAGCTGCGATTAGCCGTTTGGAAAAGAGTGAATGCGTGATTGTATTCCTAAGACTTCAATGGGTGATGGGGGAAGGGGAGAGGTGGGTCTTTTTAAACCGATTTTATGACTATTGCGGTGAATACTTCATGAACGGAGCGTGAAGTGGATAAAATGAAAGGGATTTGCTGCTTCATCGTGGTCACCACGCGCTTGACGCGCGATCTAGAGAGGGAGCCGTCTGAGGCTACTGTCGAGGGGAGGGTGGTCTTATCGAGACTCATAGAGTGGGGGTCACAATATTTTTGAAAAGTGCGGACACGACGATTGGCCGTTCTTTCAAATCATCAGTTATCAACGTGACGTTCAGTCTTTATTCTCTGTTCCTTTTGCATCAGAGTAATTACATCGAAAGCATCTCTCTCGGTTAATCTGTAAGAAAACCTGATGCCGTATGCTATCCTCATCCCGGGAAAGAGACTTTGGAATCCCTTCAAATTTTCTTTGTCTCCTCAACGAGGAGTGGCCAAAGAAAATGTCTATTTGTAGTAAATGCGTGTAAGATATAGTTGTGCCACAAGTAAAGATATCGTTATAAACAAATATATCGAAGAGATTTTTTTTCTCCTAGCCTGGGGAAAGATAACATACGATGCTGCCGAGTCCAATAATAGCATGCTAGTAGAGCTGCAACGCGCTGCTATTCATTCCAGGCAAATTTGTGCATAAGTGCGTGGGGTAGAGTGTCTTGTGTGTGCCTACACCATTGAGACACCAAACCTGACGGCCAATTTTTCGCGTATGGGGTTACTGTACAGGAGCGCCGAAGGGAACACGTATTGCGAATGGGAATCTTGTATTGCGCATCGGTCAGTACCCTCAGGAATTCCGCCTGTCTCCCAACTATGCGATTTTCCCCTTTTTTGACCTCCGTTCTTATCATGAATTGCTCCTTCAATGCAGAAGTTGAAATCAACCAGAACTTGCCTACCGCCACGGGACCAATACCCCTTCGGGAGATTCAGAATCGGGTTTTGTGCTGTATTACTATTTGCCAAGGAAAATTTTGTGAAAGCCTAGCGCAGCGAGAAGACGTACACGTCTCAAAGGATTTATGGTTAGTTTTAAAAGGGGATTCTTTGCAGGAAGATGATTCGGATTCAAAGGCCGTGGTTGTGATGTCAGACGGTCAAAGTTCCAACTGCAAAGATTCTCTAGAAATTGGTGATTTCTCAGAGTACGCACATAAGGAGTTCGCAATAGCTAGAGAAGTGAGTTTACCTATTCGACAACATATTGGGTTGTCTCATAATTCTGTCTCCATTTTGACGCTTTTGTTTGTTTTAATTTTATCTCTTCTAGGAAGCAACTGATCAGCAGCATAACCACCATCACGGTCACTAATCCTCATGCATTTGCTAGGGAACCTTTGGAAGCTTTCCGCCTAAAATGAAGGAAGCTGGGGGTTGAAGAAGTTGGAGAAGTCGTTTTTGGGGTTGTCGTATTCCTTGAATTTTTTCTCTCGCATACGCTGGCCAACGCTATAATTTGGGTGAGTACTCGTTGCCCTGGCTACCTCCTTCAGAACGTGGCGAGTCGACATTGCACTGTGAGGTCGGGAGTCCATTTGGAGAAAGGGGATTCTGAAAGGTTTCTGACGGTTCCTTCGCAATACCGAAGCCGGCCTGGAGGGCTATGCCACGCTGATTTTGGCAATGCTTGTCTTCATACAGTGAAGTGGTTTGGTTTTCAGGCCACTCAGCGAATACAACAAATCGGGAGTAATATACTCAGAATACGGAGTTTGGGCTTTGGTTGAGCTGGTGCTTCCTGGCTGCGAGGTAGTCATCGGGCGTGCCGCGTGTTGTTGTCGCAGTGGACGCGTGATTCATCTCCACTGGTGACCGATTAGGTTAGACTCTGCTTGTGCCGTCGCAGACTGAATTATCCCCAGGTGGTCAAGCGTGCTTCTCGCTCATGGTCGGCGTGACCACATGGTTCCCATCAAAACCTCTTTCGTCTGCAGTTCTTTCTATCCTGATGGCGTGGCTGCTGCATCGGCTACGCCCAGGTATTTGCTACAGTACCCAGGTAGTAACGTCCGGATAAACTCCCAATTCACGGTACAAGGAGCTTTAATCAAAAGTGACCGCAAGCTCAGCATCAGGTTGGTTTTTACAAATCGTTTCGCCTTTGCCGTTGCCATTGGACTACTAGCTCAGTACCCTATCAGTAGCAGAGACTAAGCCGAACAGAGCGCTGATTTTATCTGTTGTCCTCCTTGCAATAGAGTTAATTTGTGGACCGTAAAGCATAATTATTCGTTTTGGTCACTGACGTATTTTTATTTCTAGTTAATTGATCCGTTATGCGTTTGCTCTTCTGAAACTACCTAATTGAGGCTTCTGAAGCATACTTTAACATATTACCGTATTTCGCAATGAAACAGTTTCAAATAAAAGTAATTTGAATTTGAATAGAAGTGAGACACGAATTATGAGACAACCCAAACATACATATATGCGTTCCACTCAACCTTGATTAAGACTGTTTCACGTATGATTAAGACTGTTCAAGTATGCTGTGTAGCGAACCAAACTTTCGCCTCAGGCGGGACTAGAACCCGCATCTCTCGCTTCACTTGTGAAACATTCGCAAGGCGAAGTGCGGCCAAAAACAGCAGTTAACAAACAAAACTTGATGAAGACCTGCTGAGACTGCGATTCATCGTATACGAGAAATTTCTTTCCAGTTTATTACACCATCTGCACGTATATCAAAATTTATGCGACGATTTCAGTGGAGACAAGCCGGAATCAAGATCATATATGTTCAAGTGGGTAGAAAAGACCAACAATTTGAATCAAATGTTGAAGAAATCGCTGGCAACTCCGGGAACATTTTTAAGGTGGACGACTTCGACGTGAGTAGAGTAATTTGCAATTAGGGCATGCAGAAATTGGATACTGTATAGTCCTTTTCCTTTAGAAGGTCGACAAGGACTTTCTCAGTGGTGTCGCTAAGAGAATATGTAAAGAAGAGGAATTCTAAGAGAATGTTTTCCACTGCAATAAAGTTTTTATTTCTAAATGTGATCTCTGCTTTTTTTGTGCTGAGCACGAATCGATCTTAAAATTGGTGGAAAAAATTAGAGAACGGGACTGCAACCAGGGTCAACCCTGCGTTGGACAAAGTCCAACAAGGGGTGGGGGGGTCGTATATGGGGTGGAAAAAGGGGGGTCGTATTTAGCGAGGTAGCGGAAATTTCACAGTACGGAAGTGATGTTGGTTGGCGCGCTAAAAATTTTGCCGTTTCATGGCGTATGAGCACCCACCGCTTGACGGTAATTTTGGAGAAAAAAGTGCGGAGTTTGGGGTGTGTCGGCTGGTCGAATCAAATGCTGTAGAATGAGCGCTATGATGGCGATGGTAGGCGGGCGTGGTGAAGGGTTGACCCTGAATATCCCAATGACGCTGTGGATAAGCACCCAAAGTACTCCCTCCTGCTAAGGGAGGGGGTCGTCTCGAGGCCCTTTGGAAGGGGGAGGGGGGTCGTAAAATTTTCGAAATCGTTCAACCGACGTTGACCCTGACTGCAGCAATAGAAGTTTTAAACCATTGACCTCGCAAACTACTTTTCAACAAAAAAAATATAAGACTTTGAACATCAAGCCAGCCTACACTAAAAAGGGAGGTCGTTCAGGGTGTAAAGCGCTTTTTCAAAACGGTTTTTTGCATGCTGTAGGGACTCTCACGGGGACTACAATACTATGTTTCATTTTCGCTGAGCGACCTTCCGAAGGCCAAAAAATGGTAGGGAAGTGGTCCAAGGTCTCTTGATGACAGAATTTTTGCACTTTAATTGGAGCTTCGAAATTTGTTTAAAATAAAGCCAGCACCAGTACTAGGTATCGCACTCTTCATTAAAACCATGAGCAAGAACTGCGGTCAAATTTTTTCCAGAATGGCGGAAAAAGTTGTAGCGCCAGAAAGACGCCTAATGGCGCCGAAATAGCATAAATTGAAGCTATCGGAAAAAACTGATGCCATATTCGTGATCAGGACTCTTGATATTCCCTAAATCAGAAGTTCTTGAGAAAATTGAGAATTTGACCTGGGGAAAATTGGCTAGTGATAGAACAGTAGCTCATACATAGTTGCCTTCGTGAAACTGGAAACGTCCCAGTTATCCTTCTCAAATAACGAGAAGTTCCACTGCTAAATGGACAATGGGAGACACCTAGGCTGGTAATGGGCAACAGGGCACCATGATTCTGAAATCGGCAGATTCTCCCCTTCACCAAGAGGTGGTATGTTGGCTCCACTCACTTTCACTCGCAGTGCTGCGTGTCCAAAAATGGAGAGATTTCAAGGACTGCGACATGATGGAAGATGTTCCCTATGAAACCAAACTTTAGTTCCCATGAGCCGACAAGGCATTGCGCTTGATTTCGGCGCCGCTCTCGTATTCAAGTCGCCCTCTGGCGTGCATGACGACCTGTAGCCCATGGCCGCCCTCTTTTTCGAAGTTAGGTCATAACCTAGTTTATTCCTGAAATTTGGCATATGGGGGTAGATCAGGGCACTGTACACGATTGTGGCGTTCGTTTTTGACGTCGGCGCCATTCGGCGCCAGTTTGGCGCTGCGAACGTTTTCCGCCAATTTTTGGTAGAAAATCCATTTGCAAGGGCTACTGACGGTCTTAAATGAGAATATAGCGTTAATTTTGACGATGAAGCAATTTGGCGCCAATTTGGAGGTGATAATCAGAAATGCAAAAGCCTGCTCGAGGGCGGGCCCTATGAAAGTCGTGCCAACCCCAGTCCACCACGCTATCCACTCGGCCACTTTTTCGCTGCGATGGTTAGGGTGCCGACGACGCCTATGAAACCTCTACACTTTCTTTAGCAGTACCACGTACAGTGCGTTAATTTTGAGCGAATTTCGAGTTGTTTCCGATTGCACCTTCATCGGCGCCTTTCAAACAGATGGTCGTTTCCACAAGTCCGAAACTCACTCCAAGGCAGCAAAATCACCCTTCTTGGCGGATACCAATTTTTGGCCTTCAGGGGGCCGCTCAGCGAAAATGAAAGCAGTATTGTGGCCTACATGGGAGTCCCTACAGCATGCGGAAAACGGTTTTGAAAAAGCTTCCCACACCCGGAACGACCTCCTCTGTAAGAAAGCTGAATCACATATGAGGAGACAAAGGTGGATTCTGAGGTGGAAGAAGGGAGGAAGAGAGAAAGGTAATTACTATACAGGCACTAACTAGGTGCATTCGAGGATGGAGGTGGCTACGTTGACCGCTGATGGCCTTCCCTAGTATCATATAATTACCGCTAAATTTGCTGACCCCTTCGTCCGTAGACAGGTAGAGTTGCTCATAGCTCATGGATCGGTATTGCGCCTGCTCCCTGTCCTACGTAACATAGCGCTTTGTAGGAACTTATATGTATACCAGTTTGGCTGCGCACGCATTCGCGTGCATCACACGGGGGGTTCAAACAGGATGATCACTATTCTTTTCTAGATTTTAGTTTTTTGTTCGGTACATCCCATTCACAACGATTATTAGGTCAAACTATATTTTCTATTTCCTACACCGCGTTGAGCTACGTGTTTCAGACAGAATCGATCAAAAGACAGTACCCAATCTCTAGGTACGAACGAAAACAACAATTCCAAGCGACGGCAGTTTTGGAGAGGGTCTTTTTTCGAGACAGGTTTTTTTCGGAAGTCGGTAAGCCTGAAAAATTGTGTCTGTGACCAATGTTCTCTATCTATTACTGCAGAGCTGCTGGGTGAGATTCCAAGGTACGGCTGCCTTGGAGACACTCCTCTTTCAAAATTCATGATTAACCCCGCTCACATTTGCGCATGTCCTGTCCACTGAGACTTCAGTTCCTTCGCTGACCTCTACACTTTGTTCCTGGTGTCCAAGACTTCTTGGAACCGAGTGATAAAGTTTCGTGCATAACTCCGCCCACTGTTAAGCAAGCTTAGCCCACCGTTAGCATTTAACCCCTTTCCCTCCGGCAACCCTTATCCACATTTCTCCCGCCTAGCCGTCTTGGAACCGAGTTATGAGAGTGGTGGCAAACTCCGCCCACTTCGGGGGTGCCACGCCCAGAATTCACATTCAACCTGTACTCCTCCTCTCACTACCATACACATCCTTTCAGGTCTCTAAGTCGTCTCGAAGCCGAATTATGAGGTCTTGTAGAAGGCGTTATGAGGCATGAGTTTTCGTGGCTAACCCCGTCCACTTTGGTGCATGATTCGCTCACTGATACCAGTTAACTATCATCTCTTCCCCAACCTTCTTCTACTTTTTTCCCATCTCCGAAACTTATTGGAACCGATTTATGAAGTACCGTGGCAAATCCCGCCCACATTGGTGCATGCTCTGCATGCCAACAACGGTTGACCCCTTTCCCTGTGCCAACACTTATACGCTTTTTTCGCGGACTCCGGAACTCCTAGGAACCGAGTTATAAGGCTAACCGCAAACTCCGCCCACTTTGAAGTAAGCCACGCCCATCCCTGACATTTAGCTTCCCCTCCCCTCCTGACCTCTATCCGCTGTTTTCCGGTCTCTAAGTCATCTCGGAGCCGATTTATGAGCTTTTGTAGAAAACGCTGTCCGCTTCACGACACGCTCCGCCCATTGTGGGCGTGCCTCGGTTCACATCATGCGTGCTGGAAATATCTTAGGCATTGCTCCCCTGCACCAATTTCGTTTCTGGTCTGTAGGCTTCTTCTAAACCGAGCTATGAATAGGTTCACATCATGCGTGCTGGAAATATCTTAGGCATTGCTCCCCTGCACCAATTTCGTTTCTGGTCTGTAGGCTTCTTCTAAACCGAGCTATGAATATTTTCACTGAGCAACGCTTTTTTAGCGAACGCCCCGCCCACCGAGAGTGGGTCTCGGTGTTAATTAGTTAGTTCAATCTGACTTACCAACCCACACCTACACCCACTTTTGTACCTGGTCTCAAGGCTGTTTTGTGACTGAATTTGAAATCTCGGTCCTAAGTTCCAACTGGCAACGCCCACTGTGGGCGGGGCTCCGCTTTCAGGTAATGTATTGTTGTTTCTTCCTTTAATCGAGATATGCTACCTCCAAATTGACCTGGACTCAGTGGGTGGTGTCGCCTTATACGAATTTCGTGACAGACAGACAGAAGACTTAAGGCGCATAAAGGAAACGTATTACGATTAAGGAAATTTCCGGTTCGGGCTTTCCACATATTGCCTTATCAATCAAAACGCTAGCTTGTTGGATGATGGCGGCTATGGGGTTAACACGTCCAAACAACTCCTTTCTTTGTCGCCGCTCATTCACCGGTCGAAAATGATCGAGCATGTTAAAGGGTGTTTTTTTGCTTATTTTTGACGCGATTCTTTGCTTTTTTTCGCCATTGTCGTACTATTGGAGACCCCCACGTCCCTCTAACCCCTTTGATCTATCGTATCGCTTCTTAATTATGGTAGGGATTTGAGTGTTTATCGAAATGGACAGCGAGAATGCCCATGCTAGCACAAACACGCCGCACACCCTTACACACGCCCGCTAACCACCAACCAATCAGATCACAACACACCCACACAACCCACACCACACCACACCACACAAACCACCCACACACACACCCAAGCCACACCACACCACCCACACCGACACCCACACCCACACCACACACGACAACACCAACACCCACACCTCGCACCCAATCAAACAGATACCCCCACAAAGATACAAGTACCACAAGCCCACCACACACTGTGCTCTTCGCCTGTGCTCGGCACCCGTGTGGTACCTATTATGACACAGATAAATCGAGTGGCATTTTGAATGCATTTGCTATACAATCAGGCAATTTTGGAGCCGGCGGATCACATTGTCAGTATTTTGAGCTTCGACGGTTTGAGTAGAATCGATAACCCTGAGGGATAGACGACTTTCGTGGTGCCTGGACGGCCGATCAGTTTTGATGCCCCTGACCCGCACGGATAGCGGCCACTTACCACTAACCATTACGCGT